TTTTTAATGGTTGTATAAGATTGATCTGTTCATGATTTCAATGAAATTCAATAATCTCCACAATTCTATATTGAACATTTTATTTTGTTGTATGAATAAAACTCATCTACATTTCTCTAAAAAGCATTAATTCGAAGATTCCTCTTATATTTTTAATTAAAAATATAAAAAGATTTCATAAATAGATAATGATAACCGATCAGGCAGAATTAATTGTGCATGAGTTTTACACAAGTTGATATTTATTAATAAGTTATGTTGCAACTAACGATTCTCATGTAGGTTTCAAACGGATGTTTTTCAATGTTATAACAAGCTATTTTGTCAGTGAACTATTCTAGTAATACCTTTAATACCTTTGTTTATTTAACCTCACTGTCACCATGTATAACAAGTTTATTATCAGTATTATTATCATCCTGGAAAAATAAGTATATATATATATATATATATATATATATTGCACAGCTTTGAAAATGAATTCGTCGAAAAGAGAACTCTTCGCTGATCTAATCTTTCTTATTCTAGTATTATATAATCTGAAATAAATAAATCCTGTTAAATAAGATATATTTTTTTCAATTAGTTATATTAACTTTATTATTTCTGTCTTTATGCTGTTCTCAATATTAATCATTTCTCATGGGTCTTCTTCTTGAACAAAATGAATGTTTCATTTTCCAATTCAACTTGTATAATTTATGGAATTATTTAACCCTTAGGCAAAATTTTTCCAACTATTAATTTACCTTTATGTATTTATTCATTTGTCCATTCATTTATTCATTTATTTATCCAATATCATATTAGCAAATTTCATTGTGATTTTTCTTTATGAAAATCCAGTTTCTTTCTTTTAGTTTTCTCTATTTATAGATATAGATTTATATTGTCTTCAGTACATCAAATATGATTGAGTTGCTTCTTTTTTTCCAAGTCTTATACCTAAAGTGTGATTAGAAATGGGTAAATGGGACAGAGATTTTATACAAAATTTATTAGCTATGATATTTTTACTGTTTGATGTCAGTGATTAATTGAAGATTTTTAGGCTCTGTGACTTAACTATAATTGTACACGAAGAAAGATAACACACTAGACATTATAGCATAAATTCACTTGATGAAATGGGATTATTATTAGCTGTATACCATCCGTAGTATGTAAACAAGCTTTGATGGTCAAAGATTCTGGGTTTGACTTTCAGATGCGGGTGTAGAGGATGTCCACTGTTGAGAGAGTCAATACCTAAGGAAACAGCCCTACGATTCTTACGGGTTCTCACTGATGGTTTAATTTAGATAAGTTCCTAATTGAAAATCTGTGAAAATAAATAATAAATTTTATAGACTGTCTAATTAAGTAATGATCACAAAGCAACTCAAGTTAGAAATGTAGACCCTTATATATCGACTCAGAGGTCCAAATGTTAAGTACTCGTCATTAGGTTTAAAGATTCCGGGTTCAATCCTCAGTTGGGTTGTGAATGTACACTGTTGGGGGGGACCGAAACTAAAAGCAAACAGCTTTTTAGGGTATCCTGGTTTTTAAGGGATGTTTTACTAAGATCAGTCAGTGATTTAAAACCTGAATGAATAATAATGTCACTAACAGTCATGTTCTTATTGGTGATTGATTTAGAAGTAAAATTCTTCAAGTTTTTCTGAAATTGTATAGTAAATCAATTCCTAATTTAAACAGTTATGCTGACGGCATTTTTGAAATACCTATATTATTTCTTAAATGTATTGACATTGGAAGATGTGAACTGAAAAGATTGATTCAATCGTTAAATAGTATCTTACTGCCAAATATGATGATCAGTTCGCTCTCGTGTGTCAAGTCAAACTAAAACAAGACAGCGTTTCAACATTATTTTGCTTTACATAATCCTCAACTGATTTCTTTCTATGATAAAGGCTATCATCACGCAGCATGATTCTTGCAACAATTCAGCTAAGTAGTTAAAATGATTGAGATAAGGTTTACTCCGGTGTGGCGAACATTTTCAGTCGGTTAATTAATACCACCATCAAGGCTGATTCGGATGTGTGTTGACATAATTTGCCATATTAATTAGGCATGATGAGTTCGGGTTATCAAGAATAATAGCGAGAAATAGAAATAAGATGATACTAATTATAATGATAATATGGTTCGAAAAAACAGAAATGAAAGGTATGTGTGAAGAAATACTGGGGTTCAAGAACGAGAGATAAATAAAGTGAAAGTATCAGCATAATTGTGAACGATTCTAAGCCATGTTACTCTAAGTCATCTACCGCTGATTACAATAAACTGACAGACTTTGACCAGATATTCTGTATTCACAAAAACGATCCAGACCGACAGTCGATGCCTTAGTAAACTAATGCCTTGTTTTTATTCGGCCACTTTTAGCTTTCCTCCAGCCCACTCTTACATCAGCAAATATCATCTCAAGATATGTAGGCAAACTTAACACACATCCTAAACATTTCAGTCAGCGAGGATTTTTTATGTTCATTCATTAATTTGTCACTTTTCCCTAGTACCTCACGCTTAACCTCAACATCTCCCTCTCGATCGTTCCACAAAACTCAAGCTATGCCTACTCACGTTTTCTACTTTTAATGTAGATATTTCACAGCTAAAAACCAATACAAAAGTCGTTCTTTTTCACTTTTATTATGTAGTAAATACGGCTATAAATTATTGAAAAACTTTTTAAATATTATTAGTCTTAAATTAGAAAATTATAACATATTAAAATAATGGATCATTGAAGTAACTTAAAAACACCCAATGCATCACTAATAAAAAAAGTAATAGTAACTATCTGGTGAAGAAAACGTTTATTTCATTAGCAACGTTTTAAACGACAATAAGATTTTACAAAGCCAGTAACTAATTAACTCAATCTAATTAATCTTAAAATTTATCTATACAATTACAAATAAAAATTCCAATAGTTGAAATCATGAGTCGATTGAAGCTAGACCACCATGGGAACCCTGGAAGCACTGGATGGCCGTTTCGTCCTAGTGTGGAACACCTCAATAGTGCGCATCCACGATCCCGCCCCCTGCGAGATTCGAACTCAGGACCTACCGGTCTCGCGCGCGAGTGCCTAACCATCAGACCACTGAGCCGGCTGGCATCCAGCGGTGTTAATGTCTAACTTCAACCAATCCATGAAATTGCGCCACCGTAGACCATTGTCTTCAGTGAGTTGATATCTCACAACAGACCTGATTGAACTCCAGTGGTCACGGCTTCCCACTAGAAACTCCAGGAAATGCCTCTTGAAGTCAGTCATTAGTGGGGAACTATTAAAATTTCTAAAAATCTCCACAAAACCTCTTCTGAAAATAAAAATTTATTTAAAAATACGATGCAATTCATTTTAAGTAGTAAACAATTATCAAATAATTATAAGTAAAAATGGTGGCTAGTAGTGAAATTTAGGACATATGTTTCGTTCGATTTAGGACTTGTCATCTAGATGTACCTATGATTGTCAAATAATTCATTATTTAATTGTATAGTATTATTTTAAGTGATTAACAATTGTTTTGAAACAAGTTGACAAGACGTATCATGTTTCCTTCAAACATGTACTGTTTATAACATTTGTTTATCACTGAGTAAATTCAGTTTTCTAAAAAAAACAATTTACAAGTATATGCACTTTGTGTAATTTTGTATTTGAGAACATAAGACAATAATCCCAGTTAAATGTGCATGTAAGAGGTTTGTCAATAAATGGTTGTATACTAATCGTTTTTTATTTGAATAACTTATGGTTTATACTACTATAGTAATCTAAAGTAAATCCTACACTCTAAATATAAAATTATCAGAGTTTCTAAAACCAACGGAATCATCCAGAAAAATGTATACACAATTAATCATCAATAAACCATAGTATATGCACTCAAATGGAAATATAATTTTTAAGTCTCAAATATTTTCATCTCTTATCTAAATGTAAACATACTTTATACACAAGTCTAATTTGAAGACTTATTTAACCAAACAACAGATCTTTCACTAGGTTTTTCAGAAAGTTTTAATAATCTTAAATCGTATATGTGTTGTACAGCTTTACTAGTAAATTAGGAATTGAATAAGTGTACTCAATAGTTTATTACTGATAATTCAATATTATCTATAAGAATAAACATGATTGGAATACACATAATTGTAACATTATATAAGGATTCTTCATGGTATTCACCACACTTTCAAAGTTCAATCCTATTTTGGTGTTGTGGGTGAGCAGTGAAGAGCACCAAACTGCTATGAAACAAGTGTTTCTTGGGTTCATTTTGAATGATTCCCTATTTTATGCTGGTTCGAGATAAATTCGCTAGCAAAAACTTGATATTTTGCTGCCTTTTTAAAAAAAATTTCTAAATCATATAGTTACGTTTAAAGGATTACATTGCAAAGTGAGTTTAACTAGAAAACTAGTGAAATTCAGGAAGTACTGTATACCGATTCTTCTATAATGCGACTTATGAAAAGTGGTCACTCATTGCTTCATCGAAGACCGGACTTAGAATCAATATGTAATATGCTGAGCTCATCATCTATAGAATCATTCAGTCGGGATAGATTGGTTCACATTGATAACCTCATTTCGCAATATTCTTATATCTAATATGACTGAACTCCAGCAATCACGGCTTCACACTAAATCTCAACGAATTTCTGCCAAAGTTAATTACTTCACTGTGGTAGGTGATATTGCTGAAAAATTTCATAATGGAACATAATATGTGTTTTATGCTGTCTGTTTTCTGCTAATTCATCAACTAAAATCATTCTATGATTTAAATGATAAATTAAACAATTTTCATAAACCTTCTGTACTAAAATTTCACTTACCACTATTTATATTTGACATTACACCTTTTTAACACGTTTTGATGTTAATAAAGCCGTCATCCTATAAAAGATAAAATGAATAAAAAATTAAACAACTCTATTCTCTTCAAATCTTTTTATATCTTTAGCTTCTGACCATTTTAAGTCCGACAGAAATTTTCGCTAGTCTATTGGCAACCGCTTTACATGATGCTGATCATCCCGGTGTAAATCAATCCTATTTAGAAAAGACAGGTGATTTTTTGGTTGATTTATATAAAGTAAGTGGAAATAAATAATTTTGTTTGATAAATCATTTTGTATTTTAGAAAAATGTTATTTTTTAAGAAAAATAAAAACTATGTTATCATTATTCATCTGACCAATAAACGATTTTTAATTAATTACTTGATTGACAGTATTGTTAATGTTAATCACCAAATAAACACAGGAAAAATGTATATCTTTACATTAAAGTAAATTACTTTGAATTGAGATCATGAATCGGTCAATGTTCGATCACCGTTTCTTCCAAGTATGAGACTCTTCAAATGTGCGCGACCACGATCCCGCGCACATGACTTGAATCCAGAACCTTCGGTTTTGCACGCGAGTGCATAATCTCTATACTACAGACCCGGCATCTAACGATGCTGATGTTTAACTTTAAACAACCCACGATATTGTGCTACCATCTTTGATTGTCTTCTGTGGGTAACTGCCTCATATCCGACACAGCTGAACTCCATACTAGGACAAAATGGTCATCCATTGCTTCCAGGTTTTCATTGGTGGTCTAATATTGGTCGGTTCATGATCTCAACTAAAACTCAACAAACTTCACAACCCTATACGGATAATTTACTTTCAATTCAAATTTTTAAACTAGTATTAAGAGTATATTTGTCTATTCAGGAGGCTATCTGCGCTGTTTAAAAAAAACAGCGTTTAAAATTATTAACTAGCGACTAACGTTACGTTTTTCTTTTCAAACCGTTTTCTACTTTTTTGGCGTGTTAGATGATAGGTTAATATGAGTTAGTGAGCATTATTAAACAAAATCTACACGTCCTGATTGTCCGACTTAATATACTTATGCGTGATTTACAGAGATATTGTTTACTGAAAATTCCTGTGGAACAAATAAAATTACACGTCACTTATTTTTTGTTGAGTAACACAGAAAAAATCTAGGCTTTATTCAATAAACCACTGATAGGTAATTATAAGTGAAAATGCTAATCAAAATCAGCTGATATCAAATACTTTGTTGTAATTAGTTCATAAACCTTTTATGTTTACATGTTGCCGGAGAAAATTGTCAGCATGCTCATGATATAAGTTCCACACTGATTAGTACTCATTAACAAGAATAAGTGCAAAATTAAATAAATTAATCGTCCCTTTGAATGGAATACAATATTACTAAATGTCAGAAGTACATATGTTATAACTGAGCAACGCGGGCTACAAATAACTCCTTGTAAAACAGCGATGCTCATAGTGATTGATAACTAAAAAATTTGTGTTTTAAGTAAACGGAATATGCGCATTGAGACGTAAACTAAGAACGGCTGATTCAGTGAAAAGTTCTATTTTCTGAGTATTCATTTTCAAAACTGTACAATCGCAAATACATACTTATTTTTCAAGATGATAAGAATTACAACAATAGTGATAATAAAATTCCATCAAACATGATAACAATGAGGCAGATATAAACATGGGTATTAAAACGTTATTTTATCAGGAAAACTAGTAACAATTTTATTGTCGAGGTCTTGAATATCCGTCATGAAAATAGAGAGGGGAATTATAATTGGAAAGTAAAGGGTCAGCACGATATTATAAAATGTTGAAACTGAGATGAACTGTAATCAGGAGGATTATAGAAACAGAAAGAAGAAAAAAACTAATAACAAATCATATATATATATATATATATATATGGAATTCAGGACACACAAATACATTACTCTATGTTTTTCTACCTGTCAGTTTCCTTTGTAATTATATTCATTGAAAAAAATGATTCACTTAATTGGAATAAGTCTTATCTATATGCAAGATTTCGGTGTATATCACAGTAATAGTAGGAATAAAAATAATAGTAATAACTGTTTAATGATGTTTAACAATTTCGATTTGTGAATAGATAACGCCTGTCAATAGTTACATCGATTTCTTATCTGCTTCATTCATTCTTTCTCTCTCTCTTTAATAAATATAATAAGGGAAATTGAATTAAATAAGTGAACAAGTAGGAACCATGTAAAACTAATATGTTATTGATTTGTTTGTTCATTATTCACAACAATTATTGTTATGGCAAACTTCTTTTTATTTAAAAAAGGAAAGAAAAGAATACTTTCTACGTGCGTCATTATATCGCTGTTTACTTGTTTGCTTGCTTGTTTCTGTAGATTGTTTCCAAAAATTGAAACTAGCCCAATTCGTACTCACGATTATTTTTTCTATTCAACAAATGGGTCTCTTTGAACTAGTTTTGGTTCACTACTTTTTCTGCATCCTAGTTCCTCTTTCTCTGGCTCTCTACCTTTCCCTCCCTCTCTGTCAATCTCTATTTCTCACTCTGTTTCTTTCTATCTCACTCTGTCTATTGATTCATTTTTACATTGATTTGATGTGAAGAAACGTTGAACAGTGATAGAATGGAAACAGTTATAATTCGAATATATATATAATCATTGATGGCTTTATTCAGTATTCTATTTTTAGTATAATATAGAATTCTCAGCACAAAGTATTTTAACTAGCCCCTTTTCTTATTTCTTAATCGATCCTGACGATAAATATTGAGTGATCGTCAGTTAGATGTTAGTAGCTAAGGGATGGACATCTGAATAACATTCATTCTTTTCAATGCATATTTTCGGCCATCACAATGTCTCTGATTGTATTACCTTGTAAGTTGTACAGTGAAAGGTCGTAAACTTTTCATAAACGTACCTGAATAGGTTTTGCGATTAATAGACATAATGATGTGTCAAAACAGAAACAGATAACTTGTTGGAATATTGAAGTGGAAGGAACAAGTAGCCCAGATATTCAAGCAAGCCTCCAAGAAAACATATATAGCAAAAATCCATGTAGTCAAGTATGGAACCTTGTTCTCCATTTATATTTCCTTTTATTGCTCTCATTAGTGAATTATTGCAAAAATTTTTGTCGAAATACTTTAATTCATTACACCTCACATGTACAGCTGCTGAAACAATACTGAGGTTCGATTAAGTTATTCTACTATTTAAGTAATGAATTAAGTTCACAAAATCATCAATAAATAAAAACTAATATTCCTAAAACTTAACTCTAAACTGGAAATTGTAGTGTGCTAACCTTTTTTTTATTCTAACACTTTTAAACTAAAGCCTATAGCGACCAGTCCTTAATTATTTTGTTTAGTGCGTACTGAGTAAGATAGATGAGTCAAAGCAGGATGTAAAGATGGATCAAACTAAAGAGTTATCGAATTGTGATATGGCTTCAATGTAATGAAGTTAAGAAGATATGGAATTCTACAACTATTCATGATGGCTGAATATGACACAATGCTAATATAAATAAAGTCTTGAAATCCTTCTACGGTGTCTTACAAAAAATTTGTAATCATCATACCAGGAAGTTGTCAATAAAATGTTTTCATTCAGTTGTACATAAAAATATAGTTTGTCGCTTACTAGACAACATTCAACCACCCACTAACTTATTTCCGACTTAAACGTATACATAAATATATTAAAACAAAAAACAAAAAAATGTTATCCAATTTAGTTGTTTTTAACTTCTTCCTTTGTGAAATTACAAATGTATATTGGTTGTATGAGATAAGTCAGTAAATGTGACTATTTATTATTATTTTTTAAGAACTATTGTATTATGAATTGATATTTATCAAAATCAAACGTCATATCCTAGATGAACCAGTTAGTTTCTTGTAAACGATATATAGTTAATGACTAGTGATAATTAGCCCATTTATTCACAACCACCGCTATCACCACATCATCATCATGTGAAATTTGTAATTTATGTAAATTTGACAAATGTTTTGTTGAATTCAAAAGTATTTTGATAATATTAAGAGAAAGGAGAATAATAATTCAATAATATTTTGATGTAAGCACGTTACCATTTCGCAATTTCATTCATAACATAGTTAACTTAGAATATATAGATATTTCCGGACAGTAACAAAAAACATATGTTCAGTTTCAATCAGTTTGTATGAAATATTTTTAATTTATACTACTTTTTGTCATATGATTTTTTTCTTCTTGTTTTTGATGATGGTGATTATGATTATGATGATGATGATGATGATGATGATGATGATGATGATGATAGGATTTAGATTGGTGTGCCTAGACCAGACATTTTTTAATGATGACTTTAGTTCAAGAAATATTTGTCTAACTTAGATATTTAAAAATATGCAGTTCCGACCATGGATGAAATGTTGATTGTTTTTAATTAATGTTTGGTTTCAATAAAATTGTGTTTTGTATTCTACTCTTTTTAATATTATGTTACGTTTTGAGTTGAATTTTTTTTCTCTTACTGTACTACTTGTTTATACTTACTTACGCCTATTACCCCTTTCGGAAGAGCATAGACCACCCATCAGCATTCTCCATCCAACTGTGTCCTGGGTAATTCTCTCCAGTTCTTTCCAGTTTCTGTTAATCCTTTTCCATGTTTGCTTTCAATTCCTGACCTGATGTGTTCTTCTGTCTTCCTCTTTTCCGTTTCCCTTCAGGATTCCAAGTTAGCATTCGCCTTGTGATATGGTCTAGTGATTTCCATAATGCATATCTTGTCCACTTCCAATGTCTTTTCCTAATTTCCTCTTCAGATGGAAGCTGGTTGGTTCTCTTTCACAAAAGGCTGTTGATGATAGTATCCGGTCAACGGACATTAAGTATCGTGTGTAGACAATTGTTTATAAATACTTGTACATGTTTGATGATGGTTGCGGTAGTTCTCGATGTTTCAGCTCCGTACATTAGAACTGTCTTGACGTTTGTATTGAAGTTTCTGACTTTGATATTCGTTGACAGTTGTTTTGAGTTCCATATGTTCTTCAACTGTAGGAATGCGGCCCTTGCTTTACCAAACCTTGCCTTTTCTTCTGCATCGAATCCTCCCTGTACATCGATGATGCTACCAGAATACGTGAGACTTTCCACCCTTTCCAGAGCTTCTCCATCAAGTGAGATTGGGTTGATGTCCTCCGTGGTGTACGCTGTCTTCAAAATAAAAACTTATTGTGTATATGCAACAGCATACAAAAATGAATTACATACACCTAGACTCTTAAAATCATTGAGTTTAAGATAATCAATTTTTTGTTTATTCAATCAATGAATACAAGTGGATTAGTTATTGTGTTTTGTGCTTTACGAAATTAATATTTTTTTGTATCATGATATTTTTATAGTTTATAGTTATCAGTGTCAAGGTTGGACTTGATAGTTTCAAATAAATGGAGGATTGAGTAGAAAGTTAATAGTAACTATGTTTTTCGTTATATCCCGATGAGTAGAAATATTGTATTTCTGACGTTTCGTGTCTTCATGTAAGCCACTTCTTCAAAATAAATAAATAACCGAATTAAATTACCACAACTTTAAAGAGTACAAAGAAACTTACGTTAATTTATTTTGGTTATTTATTTACTCTGTAAAAGTGGCCTACATTAGTCACGAAACGTCAGAAATATATATATATATATATACTTATAACAAACTGTAAATTAGAATCAAGTATTTATCCCCGCTAGCCATCCTTCCCTCTTTAAATGTTTTTTTTCACAAATTATCAAACTCTGAATACTGACCATTTTTGTACGCTACAAATTAATCATTATCTTATACTTAGATGTTCTTTATTTTCGTTACGAAACTCATATTGATTGATCAGGGAACGAAAAAATCAGAACACAATAGAAAGTTTAAATAGATCTGTTAATGCACAAAAATTTATTCATCATTTGTATTACTAAATAAAGATTATTTCCTATGGATTGTTTATCATTTTTTAAATACTTAAATATATTAGAAACATAGAAATTACCGAATAAGATTTTAGATTCGATATATGAAATTTTTTGCCTGATTAGAGTGTGGCATGCATCATTCGTTAATATTGTCTCGAGTTTTAATGTAAGATGTTTGGATTTTGTTGTTAGTCGAAATTTATGGACTTAAGTTACATGCAATTTAGGAATCATTGATAAGCCATAACTGTGGTCTTAAGGAGATATATGCGTTCCGTGAAATCGGAATTCATCGTACCCATAGTACACACAATGCCAAGTTTTATAGACTGGTAACCGCGTTGCAACTCTATTAAGAGAATTCGATCAATACAAAGGCTCAGACAGGCGTGGAATTAGTTACCACTCAGTGATCAGTCAGTTTAATGAATTGGAGTTCCATAAAAATTTCAATATCAAACACTTGTCTGGTATTAATTAATCTTCTGTATTTTTAGCCTTGTAAACGAAATCTACCTTTAAAATATATGTGATTTGAATAAGGATTAGTTTCAATGTTTTATTATAGATCAGATTATCAAGTACATTTTTTAGTGAATACTGTATGCATATCCATATCTGTACATATATAAATATCCAAATATGTGCATATTTCATCTATGTTGCTGATTTTTTCTTTTCCGATATCTTACTTTTCGACGAGAAATAATTTGCGTGAACTACTCAACGATTGTTTGAAGGCTTTTGAAGTGTTTTGGATTGACTGAGCTGTAGTTGGAAAGGATATTTATGTATATAAGAATAATCCATAAAAGTTTCTGTAGAACTTTGAGATCAAACCAATCAAATCGAAAACGAAGTTGTCAGAAGCTTACAAAATAGAGTTAAGGATCACACTGGATTACAAATTGACTAAAATTAAAAGAATATTAAGTACCTAATTTCGGCTCATTAACTAAATGACATTTTACTTACCACACGAGATCTAAGAGTTTTAAGTTTTAATCCTAAAAAGGATCGTGGCTGAACATCGTTTATTTATCTAGTGATAATGGACTGGCGTAGTAACTCATAAAACATTCGTTTCATAAATTTATTGTTCAACAGCCAGTAACTAGACTGAATTGGACATTCAGCCAACAACTGCGTTTTTTGTACGTCAGTAATCTTAATGATTTTCAGGCAGTATTTATAACAGACTGATTTTATCTGGAGTATCGATGGAACTAGAGGGCCTCGGATCTGTTTCTCCTCAGTAAGAAAATCTTCAATAGTGCTTTCAAATGATATCACAAGAAACGATGACCATACTAAGGGTAAACAATTGTTCAGTGTTCCCTGATTTTCGATAGAACTCTAAATCAACTCAATCCATGGCGAATACTACCCACAAATTAACCACATCTAAAAATATTAAATATTCAAAGTTGTTAGTTTTATTTCAATTTGATATTCACTGTTAGTCAAAGAAACAAAAATCACATTCGGAATTCATACTTAAAAATCACTTATTTATTTTATAACTCATGAAATTGACAAAATAACCACCATCATGAATGTAACGTAACTAATTTCTGTTCATATGAATTATATTTTTTGTGGTATTTTATCGTGTACAAAATTGTAATTCTGATGTTTCGTAACTTAATGTGAATCACCTCTTCAGAATCAGTAAGTAACTAATCAAAATAAATGAACAAAAGTTTAAATGGTACAGATAAATTCAAACAGAATATTCTTAGTATCATCAAAATCATTTGTAGGTTTGAACATATCAGTGTCATATTATTTTAAGTTGATTCTATAACAAATATCATTACATTTATTTGTGTATATTATGTTGAGTATGAAAAATGTTTACATATGTGTTATGAAGTAACCAAATTTCTGTTCGATTATTGTCTTTTCATATAAAGAATAAACATCGGCGAGACTCTAATTTATGAATGACCTTTGGACGAATCTTAAGCTACCTTGAGAAATATTAGCCAATCGGCAAACAGCCGGTAAAGAGTAAAAAAATGTTATACAAAACCAAGAAAATAAAGTGAATACATTTCTTATACTTGATTCAAAAACTTGGCAGTTAGAAAGAGGTTCAGAGGTTCTAAAATCGTAGAGGAAATCATCTATACGGCTACAGAATAGTCGACCTCTGGGGCCATGATAAAGTCTCAAATACTTTCATCCTCGACCATATAGCTTCAATATTGTTTATGTGCACTCCAGTTGTTGAGTGCACAAAATTCTACTTGTGGATAACGACACGATGCGCGTAACCAAGCCTATGTAGGAGTCTGTAAGCTCTCAAAACATCCGTATATGTTGAAGTACCTGGCTGCAGCCAGTGTTAGTTGTACTTTTATTATACAGTTCGCGATAATTGTCATAATTTGTCATTAGGAATTATATATGGGGTTTTCATCACGAACTGACATCAACTATAATGCCGGAAATTTATTTAGCCAAATGAATGAAATGCTTTCGCGTTAAAGTCCGAGATCTGTTATCTTATTCCTGATTGATTCGTCCTCAAATTATAGTCTTGCCGTTTTATTTGTTATAGCCACTCAATTATCACGTTTTGTACAAAATTCCCTATGTTAGCATTAAGCACTGAAGTTGGTGCCATAACCTTGCAATCTCTAAAACGTTTCTGATTGGCTCGTCCATAAATTAGAGTCTCGCCAAAATATCTCAAGATATTAAGTAATAATGTTAAGTATGTAACTCATCTGTTTCATTGAGTTATTTCATTGAATTTCTTTCTCCCTCTTTTTCTTTCGATCAAATAATATTCCACTATTATTATTAATAACAGTAGTATTGTATTTTTGTGTATATGTGTATGTGCGTTTTTTAAAAGAATATCTTCTTCTGTATATTTTTATCGTTTTTATTATTATTATTTGAACATTTAGTCGGTTTCTGTATTGGAAAAACATCATGCAAAATTTGGTTTATGCATTCTTCAAGAAAATGGATTATCTAATGCATTAGAATTAAAAGATTGGTTAGTTATTTTTTTTGTTAAATAATTGTGTTCATATTTAAACTCTAATAATGATATTAATAATAATTTATATTGTTAATCCGTTTTTAGTCATATTTAATAAATGAGTTCATGATATTAGTTTTTAATTGCTAGTTTTGTTATAATTTCTTATACCTAATCCTTTATTGAATTGATCCTGGTACATTCCCGGTACACTTCAGTAGAAGTAATTAAAGAATTTTAACCTAAATATTTCCCCTCATACTGCTGATCAGTTTAACTATAAAAAAAAGAACACTGTATTCTGGTTAAATGAGTATACTACTGATTAGCATGAGTGATATACATTTACATGTTTTCATGTCAGAACTATTGATTCATGTTAAATACTGCAATAATGCAATAAACATGGGAAAAATATTAGATATGACAGTCGGTACTGAAAAAAATCATTACATTTTATGAAATTCATTTTAGTTCAGTTATTTATTATCAAACAAGTTATAACTATTTGGTGAAATATTTTGTTTAAAGCTGAGGACCTTCATTGTTTTATAGTAATAATAATAATGATATAATGATTGAGTTAGATGGTCATTCATTCTGTTATTTGAAATCTGATAATTTTGAAATTTCTGCTATGGTTTAGGCATCCAAGCAGCATCCTAGCCCTCACATAAATCGAACGCTTTGTGTGGCGCATATATATCTAGTACCTTCTTATACCACTATTAATGTGTTTAAATAAATTACGAAATTATGCGAGGAAATTTAAGTAACTAAATAATTTCAAGAACTGAATCAGTCGATTAGAATAGTCACAAAAGAAAATATTTTTTTTAGATTTAGATCATGAACCGATTAATGTTAGACTATCATTGAAGACTTGGAAGCACTGGACGGCCGTCTCGTCCTATTAAGGGACTCCTCAGTAGTGCGCATCCACGTTCCTGCTCGTGGGATTCGAACCCAGGGCCTTCAGTCTCGCCTGCGAACGCTTAACCTACTGGACTACTGATTTGGCATTCAATAGTAATAATGTCTAACCCCAACCAATCTACGAAATTGCGTGACCATCTTCCACTGTAACGATGTAGATACCCGTCTCTACCCGACACGGATAAAAAACTCAAATTTATGGAATAAGCAAATGGTATTATTCCATGGAAAAACATCAATTGCCATTTGGAACTATGTTAACACTTAAAATATGTCATTTGTAAATCAAAAAAGTATTTTTTTGTTGGAAAATGTAAGGATGTAATTTAGTTCGAAACTATCAGAAAGACTACTTATTTATTTTATTGTATTCTTGGATTTATTTTAGTCTACATACCTATGATTTGGTTTTTCTTGAAATGTTTGGTGGTTCTTTTTCTTGACAGACTATTCCTGAATAAGAAATTCGTTTTTTTTCAAAAAAGAACCCATAAATTGTTTTAATACAAAACTTTGAATTAACACTATGAAATAAGAATGTTATATTTTCAATTCTACTTTGTGTTTCTTTCTTATTCATAGGGAATTCGTGCGTGACTGTTTTTTAAAATTAATTCCAGCTACTGATATTACATATCAAGGAGTATATCAAAAACAATTCAAAGTAAGTTGGAGTGTATCGTCTTTTTTCCAACTTTTCCTAGCCTATTTAACTAACACTAAAAGTCAATAGTTTGATGTTGGTTTAGATAATTTTATTGAATTTCTATAAATCAAATAACCTAACACATTTGCTAAATGTTTCCTCTATCGGACACTACCTATGCACTTATATTCTTCAAGGATTTGAAACCATCTCAAAAATTCAAAGACAGAGGTGTTTTCACTACGACTTATTAGATTAAATATGTTACTCATACAGGTATTCAATTGCAGTCCGAAAATTCAAGTTTCGTAACTTTTTTTAGAGAACCAGTTTCTTGAAGATTGTAGATATGACTCAGTGACAAATGAAAAACAGTTTAGAACTTGGACTCATTGTATTTTGTTTACTGGCTTTTGCCGTTTACCATTAAAAATCTCCATTACAACATTGAGTTGGTCAAACTAGCCGTCATGACTTAGCTTAATCTTTACAGTTTGTTTAGTACTAATAAGTGAGCAATGTGGTATTAGTCAGTACTTAGTGACTGACTGATGTACTGATACTAAATATCCTACTTGTTTGTTTGTTATACCCCTCAAATAGTTAGCCTGATAAACGTCTAGCACGTACATCTTCCTTGTATGTTTCTTATTTGGTTAACTTACTCTTTCGCTATATTATTGTAAAATGTGAGAACCGAGATCACTATCAAGTCATGTGGAACTTAGCATTGGAATATGATAGTCATTGTGTACAACAACATTTTAAACTTTTTCTACCTACAGATTAACCCTTATCTTTCATCCTCACATGTATATATAATGATATAATTCAAGTAGTTAATTACATAACAACTAAAAGTCTATGAATTGTTGATCAGCTAAAATTACAGTTATTTTTTTTATATTTTCAGTAAAACTGATATGATCATTCATTTTTGAATTAGATCTTATTTTTTTAAAAAGAAAGGGAGAATAAAATCTCTTGTTCAATTCATTCATGAATTAATTCTTAAATTAGTTTATTAGCATCCAATCAAAATGTATCATTATGATATTTATTAAAAGAATTTTATTTTTTTATAAATATTTACTCTTTCATTACCAATTTCAAACAGTTAGTCTTATATAAACAAAACTGAAGTTGATCGTGAATAAATAAAAATTGATTTCTTTACATGAATAGATAGACTTCAAACAATCGGGTCACTTGTCAAAATATTTCTATTTAAAAAGTAATATAATGTTTATTATAATAATTATTGAATTAATATTCATTCATTTTTGGATAGTAACTAGTTTGACAAGTATTACATGTATATAATTTGATTATTCAAAATTTTAGTAATATCACTTAAATAGATTACATTCTTGTTGAAGTCAATTTCATCGTAATTTTTGTTGTTGAAGTAATAAGGGGGGGCGTCGAGGTGGAAGACGGAGAGAAAAATGAATAAATAAGTCAAAATGATAGTCTGTTTTGTTTTTCCTTACTGAACCTCTCACTCTCCTGTTGTCGTTGTTGTTTCTTTTCATAATTTACCTGTATGTAAAATACTTTCATTTAATTATAATTTAATTGTTTATACCAATATCATTTTTGTTTGAAAGTAATTGAACCTTAAAAATGTGAATATGTATCATTGAATTCATTCAATATCCTAACTCGTTAAATACCTTTAATGCTGATAATCAGATATATTGACCATTAGCAATCATGATAATTTAAATGATACACTAACATATATTGTGTATCCTAAGAAGTTAATAAAATCATATTTTTTTGTTTAATTGTTACTCACTTTTGTTGAATTTAAATGAAGTAAACTACTACTACTATTACTATAAAAATAAACAAGAATATTGATCTGTTTTCTTTTTAGTGATTAGAAAACTCAAGATGGAGTTTATTGGTTTTACATAATCAGTAATAATTATGTAATATCTAGAGTTTTTAAGGATTTTGTAAGAGAGTTTGACATTATTTCTATTTTTCTCCAATATATGTTACATAGTTTACTTTTGTTAATGAGGTCATATGACCTCACATAACAAGGTAAATAATGCTTAGTATATTTCCCCACTTATATTAGGAAATAACTTATAAACGACAACTAGTCCATGATCAATAATGATTAGACAATTTATCCGTGAAGATCATTGTATCAATGAGGTGTTGAGACTTGAACTCTGATTTCGATTCGATGAATGTGACAGCTATAGAATTCTATGAAATAGTAAATTAAGCTAAAACCAATGTCACCTATTTTTAACATCACTTCGGGATGAAAATCACTTGACAATTAATGGAACTTTAACATAACTAAAGAAATTAACTATCTTTTCAATTATTATAAATATTGTAAAGTTCGTGTTCTATTTTGGTGTACATATAATATCGTCTTCATCAGAATATACACTTTGAAGATCGAACAAACTGGAGACAAAGATACATGTACGTAATTATGTATCTAGTTCCATATTTAAGCAAAGTTTGTTTATGCAAGAAGCTTACATTAGAGATAGTGAAATCAGAAAAGCATACCATAGTTTAACAAATCTAGACAATAGAGAACATTGTTAGTCCAATACTGTCTAACTAATCATAATTGAATTAAATAATCAAAGAACAAGTAATTTCTAATTAAATCTTCAGTAAAACAACTGCTACTTGTAAGTAATGTAGTTAGATAATACTCCTTATTCCCTATACTCCATTTATCTGTTAATGTGAAGAAACAGTTTTATAAAAATAGCTTAATACTATAGACCTTATTCCCTCAGAATGATCCTATTTTCAATGTTTATGAATATTTCAATTTATACATAAATACGAATTTGTTTAACTTATTTTCACAGGATTTAACAAACTATCATATGGCTAATCCATCTTTATCATATACAATATCTGATCGCCTGTTAATCATGCAAGTATGTAAAAAACAAATAATAATTAATCGTTTAATTTATTCTATTTATTGTTAGTAGTTAATTTGCTAGAATTTTATTATTTCCAAAATGTATATGACATTTTAGAATGTTTTAGCTTAAAAAAACAACAACAATATGTTCATACTCTTAATCAGATTTTAACTATTATCATTCAAATGATACACTGACTAAACGGTCAATATATTACCATGGTATTTATGTGCCGACCAATTCATCTAATGAGGAGTATATTCTCTGTAGTAGTAGTGTATCGTTTTATTTCCGCGTATTTCATTTAGCTCTATAAGACTTATACTTATATCCAATGTAGTGGGTTCTTTTTATCAAGTTTTTAATGTAAGAGTACATTGGATTAAATAATAGAAACGTAAGGTTATAAACTCATTAATTAGATTATATTATTTTTAAAAAAAAACTCATTTCATGATATTAATACTAAAGTTTTGGCAGTGAATTCAAATGCAGTCTTGATTTATTGAGGAATTTTTATTAGGATAACATTAAGAGGTATTTAAAATGTATGAGGTTTCCATAAGAGAAATTTTTGTGCAACCAAAGAATAAAATAATACCATATGAATATAACAACACAGAAATATAATAAAATATGAAATCTTTTAGGTTTTGATGATAGGTGTATGCATATACTTAATATACCAGGTTTTCAATATATGTAACAGAATTTTTAACAGTATGATTGTTACATCTCAGTAAACAGAAAATTTACAACTTAGTGTAGTTTACTCCATTAGAGAACAAAAATCCATTTTTTAAAAGTGACACAGGTTAGAACAAAAAGAGCAACAGAATTTTTTTGATTAAAGCACTCTATCAGTAAGCAGTGAATGAACAATATTCAATTCTTACTTTAACGGTTTTAATGGTATACATCAACTGATTTTTGCAGATCTATTTTGATCAAATAACTAATTTTGATCACATAGAAGAATGAAAAACAAAAGAATCTAGACCTAAGTAGGCAAGTTCTGTCGAATATGTTATATATGCATATAATAAGTCGATTTAGGAATCGGTCGGAATTGATCATGTCCATCTAGCTATGTACTCTGTTGAGTTTTATCAGATTTTTCCTACAAGTGCTAATTAAGTGATAAGTAGAATAAAAGTTTCAAGGTTATGACTCCTAATATTTTTCATAAATATAGTGTGGTTACATCAGCCCATTACAAATAAACTGAGTTTGGTGAGAAATCAACTGATTGCAAAAGTTTATTGAAGGAACTAACTGTATGAGGTTGTTCACTTCGTAGTAATTAATATCCTCGGAGGCGATCAAGTAGCAATCTACCAACTAAGCTAAATAACTCGAAATCATATGCTCATTTTTGTTATGATTAATTTTTGGGAAGAATAACTCAATGGTCGTGTCTCGTAGTGTAACGATCGATAATGTGAATTGGAATTTCACAAGAAACATCAATTTCTTTAAGAAGAAGCATTAATTTTGCTAATGAATACGAACTAAAACGAAATTTGGGTTAATGAAAACATACCAGAATAATCACATTTTGGTTTAGAGCAATCAGAATGTAGGGATTTAATAATGAGTTGTATGCGATACACATTTCTTGGATTTCACAGAAAAGGTAGCCACTTTTTAATTTGTTGGAATTACTATTACAAGTATGAATAAGCTACAGTCTCTCTCAAAATATGCAAATTATATTTCACTTAGTACGTTAAATAGTTGCATTTGTTGGTACCATCCTTTGTTTAAGCAACTAAGTCTTATTTTTAGTCCATATACTACACTCAGTCACTATAATTCATAGTTCAATGCACAACTTTATAATACATTACTAAGTGGCAAAAATTGTGATTATGCAATAGTTGAATTAATAATTGTCTATAATCATGTATATACCTCAATGTTGATTACAAAATAATTATTGTTTCGTAATCTATCAGAATCTAAAGTATAAATTCACTTTATTTTGCATAGTCACTATATACACTAAGTAGCTTTGATTCATTCGATTCAAAAACCTCCAAAAATGATTTGAAGACTTTTGATATAAATCATATTTGTAAAAATCGCAGTTTAAAAGTTTAGAGTTGGCCAATATATGAAATGTTTAAACTAGTTAATTTTAATCTCAATGAATTTCATAAATAAAATTTATATACTGAAAGAAATCAGTTGTGTTATCGAATAGAAGTAAAGCAAAGTTCCTTTACTGGATTTTCTTTCATTCTAATATAATTAATATCTTTATAATATTGCATAGTAATCAGTGTACAATGTTTATAAGATAAACTTCTCTATTCTTAATAAAAGTTTATCTAACATGTAAATATTCCTTATAATTATTATTACCATTGAAAAGACTACTTTTATGCATGTGATGTTCATCTTACTGTGCTAATGAGGTGTGACAAATTGGACCGATGTATATATATATATATATATATATATATATATATATATATATATATATATATATATATATATATATATATATATATGCCTGGTCCTACGTTGTAAATGATTTACTCATTCACTGACAATTATTTAATATTTCTTAATTAAGATTTTTGATATAATGAATAAGATTTGTAGCCCAGTTTAATTGGAATTATAATTGAATGAACGAATGTTCTAATAATTTAGTTTATTTATTAAACGGCGAGACTATAATTTATAGACGAACCAATCAAATATAAGATAACAGGTCTCGGATTTTGGTGCAAAATTCACTTATCCATTTGGTTAAATAGAATTTTGGTATTACAGCTGATGTCAATTCGTGATGGAAACCCGAAATCTAATTCCTAATCTTAACCATCAACTGTAAATCATAATTCTAATTCCTCACACTAATTTATAACCCACATTTGATCCTAGTTATTGGATGAACATTCTCAAGGTCATTTTGGTGTCGCTGAAAGGTCGTCCATAAATTATAGTCTCACCTTGAATAACTTTTAATTTTTGTTTAATATATATGTAAATTGAAACAATTTCAAAAGTTAATTTATATAAGCGTATACTGTCAATGTTCGATTGCTTATTTTGTCATTTATTTTAAGCTATATCTGAAGCAATTTGGAAGACTCTCCCAGTCTCCCACATTGTACGAGCATCCTATGTACCTAAATAAGTGGTTTTTCTGGTTATCAGAAGGGGCATCAGCTTCATGACTTCTAAAAGAACTAGGCTTTCACCACGAGGCGTCATAACTCTTCTAAATGAAGACCTTCTGACTCTCAGGACATAGTTTAAATGGTTTGAATAATTTTTTTCTGGTTAGCGTTTTTTTAGCGAGTTATTTTTCTACGAGATGGGGTCGCTCATCCCATGCCCAATACTCCTTCTTTATCCGGGCTTGGGACAGTCAGTAGCCTCAGAGGGGCTCCAGGCGAAGTTATTTTAAGCTATATATATATATATCATAAAAAATCTTATTAATATTATTATTATTAAACGAATTATCAGAAAAAAATTGTTATCTTCTCTGTCATAGAATTCGATTTTTTTCAAGAAAAAAATAAGTATCTCAGTAAACAAACAATGTAAACATTGTTCATTTTAACAGAACGAGAATAACAATAACTGATGAATAAAGATACAGAAACATTGAATATAGTTAATTATTGATTAAGTAACAATTATATATGTATATATATAAATCATCTTTATGCCTTCTTGTATGTATTTTATAGATGGCCTTAAAATGTTCAGATATAAGTAATCCCTGTCGAGTTTGGCCAATATGTAAAGAATGGGCATTACGTGTTTGTTGTGAATTATTTTGTCAAGGTGATAGAGAACGTTTTCAATGGTCATTACAGCCTATACCAACAATGGATCGCACAAAATTTACTTTAGCAAGAATACAAATTGGTCAGCATACATGATTTTCTTTTCATTTTCATATTTTTTGTTTTCTTCTTTCATCATTAAATAACCGTATTCTTCATAATGTAGACTAGTAATACACCACATTAAATTATAAAATATAGTCATTGCTATTAGAAAATAAAACATATCTGAGTTTGGGTTCACATTAATAACGAACCGAGCATTACTACGACTATGAAAGAGCCAAATGTAAAAAGAGCACTGTTAAATAAAGGCACACATTTATAGGGATCACTATCAAAAAACTATATTTAATAAACGGGAACATCAAAAGGGAGAATATTGTTTTTAATGGAGTGGCTTCTGTTTGATTTATCCTCTGTCTCTTTATCTTTACGATGATTAAAAAATCAACGTGATTTTTTAAATGTCTAATGAAGAGTATACTTTCAACAAATATTGTAATTTTTCGGATTTGGTGACAGTTTGTTATTCTTTATTACCTCATTCATGTTTTCTTGTATATCTCTATCGAATAGCTAGAGGATAATCTATTTAAAGGCATGTCTGTATGTGTTAGATATTCAAGAGGATAAGAGATTTTTTAGATAATTTCAGGCAACCAAAAATGTAAGTGCAATAGAATTGATTACGTTTAAGTAGTTGTAGTGAAAATGTGATGATATACATATGTTTTCAAATAAAATATTTGATTAGGGTCAAAAAGGAAACAGATGTTAACAAAGTCGACGTATTATATACCTAGTTATATTTCTTACACTTCATTGGTATGGAATTGGAATTCATGTAGTTTAATTTGGGACACAAACTTTGTATTAGTGAATAACAAATTGTCACGAATTCCGAAAAATTCACAATATTTGTTTAAAGTAAACTCTTCACTAAACATTTAAAAAATCACGTTCTTTAAATTATCTCACAGATATAAGAAAAGAGAGTAAATCAAACAGATTTCATACCATTAAAAATAATATTCTCTCTTTTGATGTTCACCTTTATTAATGTGGACCTTTTTGATGATCACCCTAAATAATGTGTCTTCTTTATAACTGTGCCCTCTTTTTCACTCACCCATCTGCTTACGGCTTTTGTAATGGATAATCTGAGTAAGCAGATCTGAATTTATGTTAGGCACAAAGGTGAAAACACATAATTCGAGTTGATGTGGTAGACACAAGTGAATGACCATTATTGGATGATCTTAATCTTAAACAAATCAGCTGGCGATGGTTAATTTATTAGCACGTAATGTTTGCGAGTTTTAACAATAATAATAATAACAGTAGATTACTAGTCCCCAAATGCATTGGTATGGACGAGGGTGGAGAGAGTCAACTTCCCCTCTCGAAATGTTCTCAAATGGCCACGCGTATACAGCCACTGTCTTCTCGTGGCGGGATGTTGTTTACGAAAATGAGAGAACGAAAAGCGAATGTCCGGCTCTTTAACCGGGTTTTTGGATATGAAGGACCCACCTAGGGGAGTTGGAAAACCCTAATTTCAAACCAATTGTGCACACGAGCTCCAGTATCCTGAGAGAAAAAATGGCGTATGAACCAATTAGTGGTCACCTGCTACCATGGGACTGCATCTCCTTACGTTACTCTACTGCCTTGTGGATCAGACCTTTAAGTCGAATGCTCCGAGTGTGGCCTCCTAAGAAAACCAACAGCTTCGGTCTGGGCACCCGGTCAATATCACAGCCCACACACAAATCAAGTGACTTGATTGATGCATATATATTCGTTTCCCCTTTGTACCAATATTTATGTGTTCAAATAGTGATTATTACTCTTCAGTTCCATGAACAGATCCATTAAAATTTAGCTCAACGACCTCATTTCCTCTCCTTATATCATATATATATATATATATATATATATATATATATATATGTCTCAATAATTATTTCAGAAAAAATTTCTAATTACTAATTATAACTTCAACTCTCCATAAACACCTTGTAAAAGTTTTTATTTCAACACAATAAATAAGCAATAAGTTTTATTTTTATTTTTTTCAAATGTGATACTTCGTGTTTGTCTTTTCTCATTACTTTTTTTCTTTCTGATATTCATTAAACTAAAATTTGTTAAAATATATTATTATTTTATAAAATCTATATTATTCACTGATGACCTTGAACGATGCTAGCTAGTTGTAATATAATTAACAGTACAAAGTAATGAAATAACAGTAAAATAACAGCTTTGCTTTGAATAATAAATCCTTCCATGTCAAATCACCCGTTATAGCAAAAGAAAACAGGTCAGGTTTACATACAAACATACATACCTACGTACGTACGCACGTACGTACATATTAGGAGTTAGGTTAATGTTGTAATGTAGGTTTCTAGCCTTATGGAGTTTTCTTTCCCAAATGACATCAGTTATAATGAAAATAAGTTAAGGTTATGTATTAAGAGATCTGCTGAAGTTTTGAGTTATGCTTAGAAATTAGGGTCACGGTTTTCAATACGAACTGATATCAGCTATGATCCAATGCCCTATCATTTTCCTGTTTACAAATTTGAGAAACTTAGGGTTGAGATTTAGAGTAAAACTAAAAAAAGGAAGAATATTATCTAGCTTCATCAAACAATCTTGATTACATAATGAATAACATCAGATACTTTAACATAGAGTCTGCTTTAGGAGCAGGTACGTTATGTAATTCAGTTCATGAACAATCTAAACTTCACTTTTCGGTAGCATAGTAGATATCTTTTTATCGATTACAAACATTTTAGGAAACAAATATTGCACATTTTCATTTGGTTAATATGAACATACACGTTATCTACCATTGCATTATAAAGTTTGAGCAAGATGCATAAAGCGTTATCTGAATTCTGATTAATTAACCCAAGTCCGTCAGTATATTATATTTTTACTGGACACTATTCATAGTATGAGTAAATAATATTATGTTTCGGTAACTTAATACACTGAATATGACTCAAACAATTTTAGTGTGGGAAACGCCTATATGACAAATTCATGCATTATGTCCTATTTCATTTACACCCATATAGTCATTCACACGATAAGACAGTGAGTATTTATGTAAAGCTTAAATGTAATGTATTGCTAATTTAAGTAAGCATTCATTAGTTTTTAGAATAAGATCATATTAACAATTGTTTTAAATCATTTTAAAGAAAGCATTTGTACTTATGGTTTTACAATCCATTAAATATGTTCAATTAAATTTTATAAATTTTCACAGATTGAAATCATGAGTCAGTTGAAGCTAGACCACCATTGAATAACATAGAATAACATAGATTAATGTGTCATTTTTTAAATGGAAATAAACAGTAGAAGTTGCCATGACAAATAACAATACAATGTTGATTGAATGAATAAACCAATAAGTGAGGTGATCAAACCAGTTTTCAATATGCAACTATGATTAGATTTTGAAGAAAAAAAGATATAGAGACAATTTTGTCGACTAATTTAATATTCAAAAGTCTTATAAATTTTTGGTACTATAGTACCTCACATACACTTGAGTCTGCATACATTCAGTTTTATTAAGCACTTCAATTAACTTAGTTGCTTAAACCGTACGATGACTCATTTGATTTCATATATATGTTTCTCTCTCAAATTCCGTTTATTCATTCACTCGCGAATGTTCACTGGCATTCATTATTATTTGCATCTCTATTCATATTCTCTTTGTATCCTTGTAGCTTCACGATCTGCACTGTAGAATAATAAACAGTAGTCAACGCTTTTTACTGTATTTCCAAATATATACACTGTTGGAAGTTATCTAATAACGATTATCAGTTTGAGTAATACATGAATCATGAGGAATTATCCCTAAGGTATTCCATTATAGTACAGACACATTATTTATAATAGATAGATCGTCACTAACAGTGGAATCCATGAGACTTATTTCATCCTATTTGAAACTTGCTGGTAGGGTATATCTGTGTTAATGTTCACATTAGTCCTCGAACAAATAGTCTTTCAATTCAAACTTATTTAACACATACTATATCGACATGATCATTTTCAAGCGTCTGTAATCATACATCCTAGTAATATTCCGTTTGATTATTGATCAGAAAGATATGTCTTGTTGAGAATTGTGAAAAAAAATGACACAATAATTGAAACTTTATAATAGGCAATTATTCATAAATCAGTCGAGCTTTATATATCTCATTATAGATTTTGTTAGCATTGAGTGATTTACATTTGTCATGTAGTGAAATATATACACAATAATTTTTTTTGTTAAATTCAGCTAGTGAGTTTCTTTTCTTTTTTTGGCGTTATTAATAAGCTTTCACTAGTATTAATATGAATGGCTACATGTACTTGTATTCACCATAAATTGATCCAGTTTGTTTTGGATAGTCACCAGTTAATTGGATGACTTAAAAAAATACGAATTGATTGGATTAAGATTAAATTGAGATACAGTGCCAATTCGTGAACTTAGTAATTGGTTATTTGGAAAAAATATCCTATATATGGTATATGAGATAATTATGCCAGAGAGTCAAGAATTTGACATAATATGTTTCGAAATAGCCTGCTGTAATATACAATGACATTTATTCGTTTTGTATTATTTGTTTGAATCTTCCCAATTATGTTTAAGACTGAAATTGATCAGTCTCTTACTGATATATGTGCATTCTGTGAGGATTGCTTCGATATCGCCTTAAGATTCGGACAAAGAACACAAAATAAATTTACGCTTCACTCCATTGAACAAGCAAGTGGTTATCAAGACTCAGCAGCTAAGTGGATAACGCGATAGCATTTGAAACGAATGGTACTGGGTTCGAGTCCCAGAGTGAACATTAACTCTGGGATGCAGATACATCGTCCCAGATGGGACCATCCATCTTAGTTACATTTATTGTTCATTATTATTTGAATAACGATGTCAAATTCATTTCACACCTGTCAAATACTGTCCTCATTTTCCCCCCTTTTGAAATAGTTCCAATGAAGTTTTTCTACTTATTTAGCTTTTTACTTCTTGGTTATTTCCTTTTTTCCTTGCAGTTATGTGTAGTACTTGTGTCAACTTGAAACAATACAATAATTTTATGCAGTTTTCAACTTTATATCTATGAATTACTACTCAATCGAATTTGTAATAATATTACATTCATAGTAAAAATATGTTTCTAATGATGTTTTTTTTTACCATCCTCTCCAACTCTCTCTTTTTCTCTCTTAATTATTCTAACCAAATCCACAGGATTTATTAGAGATATGGTGAAACCATTATTAACTGGATGGCATGAATTTTTTCAAAATAATCTTACACTGAAAATTTTACAAAATTTAGATGAAAATTTAAAAAATTGGCTAACTGATTTGTCTTCATCATCATCATCAGGCATAACAACTTATGTTAATCGTCATAATTCACTAGACAGTCAACTGACATCAACATTACCACTTAGTTTCAATAATAATCAATCTATTTCAACAATTCATTATTTAGATCAAATTAAACAAAAAACTATCAAATCAGAGGTTAGTTGAAGAAACTTTTATGATGAATGGATATAATGAATTCATATTTATATTATATTCAACTTGTTATTACGTAAGGGGGACTGTTTCTTTTTCAGTCTTCAGTAATAAGGATAGTAGATTGGTGAACATGTGTTAATCCTAACAGTCTACCCTCCATTGTAGTTCCAGCTTCTCCTTGAAAATATTCACTGATGGCGCTGATACCACTTGTTCGGGTAAGGCGTTCCAGTCATTGACCACTCGATGAAAAAAATGGGACCCCACTTTAAGTTTATTAGATCGCGGTTTGTGAACCTTCTTGCTATGACCTCGGAGACTATGAGTGCTGGAGGGAACAAAAAGATAAGACATATTAACACCCAAATTGTAATTAAATATCACCTCGCGTTCTACGATACAAGAGAAAAAGGTTTAGACGTTTTAAGCTCTCATAGTAAAAGAGTCTAGAAAAACCTTTCACTAATTTCGTCCCCAGACGCTGAACACGCTCAAGTGAGTCAGTATGCTTTATGATTTGAATATCAAGAATATATATATATATATGTATATATATATATATATATATATATATATGTATATATATATATATATATATATATATATACATTGATGATTATTTTCCTTTTGAATATTTCTACGGAATTCATGTTTTGAATTATTTTCTTTATTTTTTAGCACACTTTAGTGTTAGTCATATCTTTTAAAGCAATTAGTTCATTTTATAAATTTTGTTCAAGCAATTAGAAGACGTAGTTGATCTGAAAACTGTTATGTATTTGCCCTATACATTTCAAATAATCTGGTCACATATATACTTGTCAGGGCATTTTTATATGAAAATTAGTAAAGGTCAATTAAATGAAAGTTCAAGTAAGAAAAGGTAATAAAAGGAGAGAAACATTTCTTACATCGTATAGAGAGAATGAGACTTAAGGACTACCAGGGTAAATTCAAAGTTACGACAAATTGTTTTTGTACACATAAGCAGAGGGGGGGGGGAAATTTACGAATAGTCAAGGCTTCAATAAACCTGAGAATTCGTCCTTGACAATTTCTATACAACGTTTTAAAAGCTGTATTAATGTCAATTTTGTGCCCCGTTTCAATTATATGTTTTGCTATCGATGAACATGGTTTTCTACCTTTCACGTTGATCGGACCATTTGACACTAATTGATTTTGAAGCCATATAGGCACATATTCAATGACCTTTGATTGCATTGTTCGATTACTCCACCCTCCGTATGTATGTCCACTAATCAGGTAAAATAAAAGACAATGAAATATTATCACGAAATATTAAGTGAAATGAATAGTTTAAAGTAATAATTTAATGTAGTTGATGTAACAGGAAAAGTTTTGGTTACCCGGCTTCTAGTCATATGTTTTGTGTATTTGTGAGCGAGAGATATAAAATTTTCTACTGAAACATAGAATTAGTTGAAAAGGGGTATTTTGGAAGTCGAGTAATTTAATCATTAAATTGAATGTTCCACTTAGCTTATGTTTGTTACTCGAAGCTTTGGAATTACTACTGTTGAATTAGATATTAGTATTCCATTTTATGTACATTGATTTTAGCATCTGATCTATTTTGTTTGTAACTAATTAGATTGACTGATAACCTCTATTGCATGTACTCATTTGTAGTTATCAAGTTATACAGTTATTAGAAATAAAACAGTTTAAACTTAAAACGATGATCTAACTGCTTGTTATATCCAGTTTCATAAAATTAGCATAATTCAAATATCTGTTCGACGAACTTTAGATGGATCCTTTCATAAATTCGTTCAATTTGAAAATAACTTTCATAAAAAAGCTAGAGAATTACCATAAACTATGTAAAACATTTTATTGTGACCTATAAAGACAATGGAATTGTCAATATTAAGCATTAATAATGAAATTGATTGGTGATTCTATTATACAATAAACTGGTTGAAGTTAAATTATGAAACAGTGGATATCAGTATCATGATGTATATGTATTACATCTTCTTCAGTTTATAGATAGATTTCCTTGTGATGTCATTAATGCGTTCTGATAAGAATTTTCAAAGTGGTATTTGGTTTTTAGTAATTTTCTGACTGATTTCAGTTCAGTGCAAAAACTAACTGGATATCTAGTTAATCATTCATACTTGATAAATATGTAATAGTAACTATGCAAAATATTAACTATAACAACTAGACCGTTAATGGTATTTAAATTAAATGATTAAAAATATTTGATAATCAAAATTATTGAATATCAACAATGATTTCAATAAGATTTAATCAATGTGAATGTTATGTAATGATTGATTTTACCAAAACTAGTAGTTAGTAGACATTGTAACAGTTCAGTTATTGATTAAAATAATGAATAAATCAATGTTAGACTGATATTAAAAACCTAGAAACACTGGATAGCTGTTTCGAAATTCAACAATCTGTACAATTCTATATCATAATATCAGTTATTATTTAAGATTATATTAATGTTTTAAATTAATAACGATGCTAATAGATGTCTATTACATAGATGGACGTTGAAAGATCTGTTATAAAAATAACTTACTTTTGTTTTCTCCGATGAAAATTTTAATCATCTTATGAAGTTTGGTAGTTTGAATGTCAAAAAAGTACTTGAACTGTAAAGTTTAACTAAAACTACATGTTTACCAATCTTAGATTGTTTCTTTCAAAATTATTTTTAAATAGTGATAAATTTAATGAAAGTCATTAGTGAACATTGAAATTATAATTTGTGTAATTTATTTAAACAAAAGAGAAATTTCGAATAAGACATTATATCAACATCGTTGGATTCCAACTCAATGGTCTAGAGGTCAAAATCCTGGGAACGTGAACTCTCATTGCTAAAGGAATCCCATACTAAGACGAAAAGGTTGTTCAGTGCTTCCAGGTTTTTTATGGTGATCCAGTTTATATCGACTCATGAATGTAACTATTACAAAAATATATCGTAATTAAGTAGATTTAATTTTTTTTTAATTTTTTTTCTTTAGAAATTGGATCAAAAAAATAAAATTGATTTACAAAAACCTTTTATAGGATCAATTCATTTAACTAATTCACCAATTCAAGAAATTGATACAGTGAATACATGTGAATCATTTGATTCCAATAGTAATAATAATAATAATTTACATTCAGGGAAATCACATCAAACAATATTTATTACAACACGTGTTATTCGTCGACATTCATTACCGGAAACACAACTAGCTATTAGAAAAACATTCAATTTTTCATTATCAAATAAATCAAGTACTGTTGTTCTATTAAAAAATGATACACAGAATATGTTGTCATTTCATTCAAGAAATAATCATATTAATATACCAATTAGTAAGATTAAATCTCAATCCTCTACCATTAAATCATCATCATCATCTACATGTACAGTATCTGCAAATATATTACACATGTTATATGAAGAATTAAAAAATAATAAACCAAATTATTTGTCATCGAAAATTGATTTAAAATCAATTCCAAATACAATACGTTGTAAAGATAATAAATTATTAGAACAAAAAGTGTTAGATTTAAATTATGATCGTACAGTTTTACGATTTTCTGCACTTGCTCATCGTCGTAGTAGTGCACCAATTACAGAACATTAATATTTACATATATATATATATATATATATATATATGCATATTGTTTGTATGATCAGTAATACCGTTTTTATTATTATTTACTATATATTCGCACTGGATTTAGATTGATTGATTCAATCTTCACTCAGTAACATTAATAATAACGATACTACTACTACTACTACTAGTACTGATACTATTAGCGCTATTAGTATTCAGTCAATCATGTACTTTATCTGTACAGAAACTAATAATAAATATTTATGTAATTTTTTTTAAAAAAAAGCATTGTCAAAGTGAAAGCAAATCTATGACTTCATAGTTATAGCATTTATTTTAACAACTAAATGAATTGTCGATTTCAATTGCAATTTGTCTATTACAATTCAATAAGTCAGGATGGTACAATTAATGATCTACAAATACTTAAACAAACTAAATTTGGATCATATATGAATTCTATAGATCTTTTGTACGGGTTGAGATAAAGCCTTACATCCATCATAGTCGATAGCTTATGTAGGAAATTAAGAGAATAAAACACATAAATGTATTCATCTTCATGCCAGTTTATATGAGTGTACATGTTGACCCAATAAATAGTTTGTTTTGTCAAATAAATAAAAAATAAATAAACATTAAATTTTCCGTAAGATTTCATTCGATTCATTCATTTTTTAGTTATAATTATTCAAACATTTTTTTTGAAATTGTACGTATCTTTGCTTGTATACATCTGTTAATGTTGATTGTTTATAACAAAATAAAAATGAAAATAGAGTAACATCTTAAAACAACAAAGAATCTTGCTCAATTTTAACTCATTTCTTTTTCTTCTTTTTTTGTTTTGAAAATCATCTATATTTCAAAGTGTTGTTCTTTACAAACATTTCATAAGTACTCTTCAATTCATCTGGACAACATAATGTCATATATATATATATATATATATATATATATATATATATATATATATATATATGATAACAAGGAGACAAACTAACTTGTTTTTGCATACAAGCCTTAGTAACATACGTAAAGTACATTTCTATTCAGGTAAACATAATGTTTCCTTTTTAAGTGATTAGGAGATATATTTATTTATTTATTTATTTATTTATTTATTTATTTATTTATTTATTTATTTATTTATTTATTTATTTATTTATATACATATGTTTACATGATGTAATATATGTGCGTTCGTTGAAAGACATACGTATATACACGGATGAACGGTCGCACACACATATAGTCACAAACATATGCTTAACTGTTAAAAATGTAACCACACTAATGTATCTTGACATTAGGCTGAAAAATCTTATTTATCCCCAAGCTTATGATCAAAATAACACTTTATTACATAATCTTCCCTATTTTAAATGATGATCACAATAAAAACGAACAGTGTGAAATGGGAAAAAAGACATAATATTATTGTAATTTCGGTAAAACGAATTAATGAAGTGTAATGAAACTTGTATCATTTTACTCTGTTGAGTACACAAATTGGCTTTTCCTTATTCAATTATTATCATTTAGGTTTTACAAAAAATTTTTATTTTGTTTTTCTCCTTTTTATCACGGATATTTTCATTTCTCTTTTTTGTTTGTTTGTTTGTTTTGTTTTTGAGTTTTACAATTTCCACCTCTTTATTCTCTTAATTTCAATTGCAGTCAGGTTTGTTTTTAATTTTGTTCCAGTGATTTAAGCCGGAACATTAAATAATAATAATAATAATATTTGTGACATACAGTTGTTTATTCAATATTGACAAGTTAACGTTTTACATAATACACTATTACTGTTTTATGCATCTATACATATACACGTATATTATGACGATAATAAATTATTTTTAAAAAAGATTTGTTTTATAATGGAGATTAATGGGTTTTTGAACATGATATGACTAATTGAGTCAAGTTACTGATTGTTAATGTTCGTTTTTAAAAAAAAGATCTGGTAATATGAGTAAAAGACTTTTATGACTGCGTTGCCAATTGTTCTATCTGGTCGTTGTTAATTGTTATGTTAGAATCATTTATTACTTATACTTGTAAAACGAGAAACAAATGCGATTCCCACAATGAGAAGTAAGAACATCAAAACTGATACAAGTAAAGATTTATTAATCTTAAAACACAACGACAACCTTAGTCCAAAATAAACTCGATATATATAATCATTATAAACCTATTTTGATTACTAATCAGGATGAAATCGCATATATGAAAACTGCCCATATTTAAAACAAATCATGTGCTGCATATCATGCTGAGCATAGTTCATGTCAACTGAATACAAGAATATTGTATGTTATAAAGAATAAAATGTCATACGGGAAAACAAAACTGAATGCTACACTAAGAAGTAATTATCAAATCGAATTTTTTTAAAAACGAAAGTAATGTTGATCAAAAAATCACAACGAGTAAAATAAATGTAATTTTAAACTTTTATCCCGTCATTATCAAAGACCAAGACAAAAAAGAAGGATGAGACGTTGGATGAATCGTTTCTGAACGCAAAGTCCAGGTTCGAGTTCGTGGATTGCCAATGCCTCAGCAGTGCATAAAATATTGATTTGACACACCTTCAATCCAGTTCCTTTAACTCTGTAGATTACTTAAAAAGAAGAATCTTTTGGAGCGATGTGTCCACAATTAATTAAATGCTCCTGTATAGAACTTAAGCCTGAACTTTGCGTGCAGAAACGATACGTCCAACTTCTCATCCTTTCTTGGTCCTAATTCCCTTAATGGAGTGATATGCCGGCTAATCGAATAATGAGAGCTGGTTCATATGCATTTCTGTTACAAACCAATGAATTTAACTTGACTGAGACAACAATTATACGTATTTATTAATTGCGAAATATATTTCCTACTCATAAATTATATGATTTACACCTATATTACTCATACAATACCATTTGACACCAATAGTCATCTATAGAGGTAAAAAAACATTTATTGAAAATAAGTTCGGAGGATAAGTATTTTGTCTATTATTTGCTGTTTGAACTATCAAATTTTTTCATCATCACAGTCTATCAATTTCACAGTAATCATCGGTACCGTCAGAGATTGAATTAAAGACATTATATCTCACATTCGAATGCCTAACCCCTAAACCAGTGATTTACATGTATAAATTCAATTGATCAACGGTATTGAGTCACTAGTTCTTATAGCTTGCGATAGATGACTGTCTGACACCTGAAATGATTGAGCTCGATTAGTCAAGGCTTCTCACTAAAACTTCCAGAATTTTACTAGTGAACATATGAATATGATTTGCATATGTGGTATGTAGAGATTGTTGAATTGTCATCCATTGACTGTACACTGATGAAGATTACCATACTGGGACAAAATACTTGTCAATACCTCTTGTTTCTAAACGGTTGTGTATAATCAATCATTAGTGCGAATTATTACTTATTGTTTAAATTTATAAGAATCTTGTCAGTAGAACTGTGAATAGTTTGTTAGTAAATTATTTTAAATATTTCAGTGTAATTGTTATTGGTTGGAATCTGTGCAATCGTAAATAAAATCCACAGTTGATTAAACAATATGTAATAAGGAACGATAAAATGATGTAACCATTTTTTAAAATTAATTACTGAGGAGTTCCGCCCAACTATATGCGGGTATAATGCAGAATATAAAGATTTCCAGTGCATGTAGACATTTTTTCATAAGATAATAATTATTTTTTTAACGTGAATGAATTCATATGAGATATAGATGCCATATTGTGTTTGGGTTCTCTCACCTTATCTTGTAATCAGTCAAATAACACCCATAAACAATCAATAACTTTAACCAAATGCAAACCCAAAACTGTCACCTGATCTTCAACTGCTGCTTAGAAATATGATGACAAATAAAATGAGAAATAATCATTTCTGGCATGCGTTAAAAAGCTCGTTCATTATAGAACCTTTTCCCTCTAATACCCAAATTAATCTTTATTTGTATTATATAATTTTTTCTCATCGCTGAACGTATAATTGTCCATACGATGCAATGATAGTTTAGTAAACCATATTCAGAGAACTTAACATTCATCAATAGTGATTCGTCTAATCAAAATACTTCTCCAGGTATAATCATTTCTAGTTTTTTGAGTAAATTAGTAGCATGTGCAAGAAAAAGAACCTTTACCACTCGAAAATTCCCAAACTTTAAAAATATTCACCAAATAGAATTTCTGATTATACATATAACTGTACGTAGAATCAGTATTGTTTCTTTTATATGTTTCTTTCAAATCATTAATAGAAAACATTTGAATATTTCCATTATTGGTAATCATTCTACAATGGCATTCGTACATTCTTTGTAAATTTCATCGATATAATTATTTTACCGCAAATGTTTACATAATAGATACATTCTGATTAGCAGAGGAATCTAAGACTGACATTTCGTTTTATTTGGGATTTGTCAACTGGATGCACAGCTTTATTCAAATCCTTTCCCATAATTATATAAATATCAAACCATATTGAACGAGTGAGTAGATATCTTCACTCAATAGCTCAAGAAATAACGCATTATTCATTTGAAGTAAAACGTATTAGTTTCAATTCCCAATATGAATAACAACACTGGAATGCATTAGACCAAAATTGAAGAGTCCTTAATAGAATAAAACACAACTACTTCATCTTACTATTAGTTACAATGAATTTATTCTTTTAAGCATAAAAATCGAATTATTTTATTCTATTCAAGTGAAATTCATCTAATACACTGTATGTAGGTGGATATTTCATGTTAAACATATTGTAAACATTGATAATCTTAGCTACTTTAATTAAATTGATGTTACTTGTATTGTCATTTTCATGTTTACTGAAAACAATAACAAAATAAAGTATCTTGTAATATGAAACACTTCTAGTTTAATCTTTTATGCAAATTACATATGACAAGAAGGTTCTTTTCTCTTTTTCATATTCAAGCGTAAAACTGAAAACTTTTTCTTTCTTTCTTTCTTTCATGAATGTATTGACGATATGTTCATCAGTTTTGTTACCTTCTAGTAAGAATTTTTCTAGTCATATCATTTTGTTACATAGTGTTTTTAAAAAGGTAAAGTTGAATAGTGACTAGCAGTGGAATCAAGGACACACGTTTCGTCCTACTTTGGACTCATCAGCTGGATGTTCCTGCATCCGAGCTAGTTTTCACTACGGGACTCGAACCCAGTACCGTTCGCTTCAAACTCCATCGCATTGTCCACTTAGCTACTGAGTTCTGATAGCCATTAGCTTGTGTAATGGGTTGAAGTTTAAATTCATTTCGTATTGTTTGTTTGAAACCTCCCAATTGATGTTTAGGACTGAGATTAATCAGTTTCATACTGACATATATACATACTGCCTCTATATTGCCTTAATTCACTAATGCACAAGCTAATGCCTATCAGGGCTCAATAGCTAAGTAGGTAACACGATGGCATTTGAAGAAAATGGTACTATGTTCGAGTTCTGGGGTGACTATCAACTCAGTGATGCAGGTACATCCAGCTGACAAATCCCAAATAAAACGAAATATCAGTCTTAGATTCCTCTACTAACCAGAATGTGTCTGTTATGTAAACATTTACGATAAAATGATTATATTGGTGAAATTTACAGGGAATGTACGAATGCCATTGTAGAATGATTACCAATAATGGAAATATTCAAATGTTTTCTATTAATGATATAAAAGAAATAATACTGATTCTACGTAGTTATATATAATCAAGAATTTTATTCAGATTTATCTATCATATTTAAACAATTATATCATTCAATTGCATAATTAAGACTGGTTCATTTTTGTGATGTTTCATTTAGGGATATGGAATATTGTAAGATCAAATAAACATTTGAAAGATGAACAAATTATTTTGTAGTATCTTGGACAAATCAAAAACCACATTGAATAGTTGATGCATTTTTTCCTGTTATGTTACCTGTAAACTATTTGAAAATTTATTCAATGTAGACATTAGATAAAATTTATTTTAATGGGTTCTCATCAAAACTGTAATTATTTTTAAATTCACTGGGATGCAGATACATCTAGCTGAAGAGTCCCAAATGGGACAAAACGCTTGTCGTTGATTTGACTGCTA